AGTCTCGAAGTATTCCATATAAAGATTAGCAAGAACAGGAGAGAGAGGAGAGAAAATAGCGACACCGAAGGTCTGAGAATAATATTTACCTTGGAATGAAGAGGAATTTGAGTCCACACAAAGGCGGATAAGATCACGAAAGACATCAGTAGGTATAGGGGGATGAAGTAACCCTTCATTGGCCTTCTCTGTGAGAAAATTAAGGACATCATCAAGAGGGGCATTAGTGAAGAGGGACTCAACGTCAAGACTAAGCATCTTACAGGTAGGGAGAGAGTGAACACGCTCGATGAAGTCTTGAGCGACGAAGGTGGGCAGGAGAGAAAGTACCAAGAAAGGGAGTGAGGGTTTTGGCCAGCCAAGAAGCAAGAGAATAAGAGAGAAAGGGAATGAGGGTTTTGGCCAGCTAAGAAGCAAGAGAATAAGAAAGAGAACCTCTAGAGGATATGATTGGACGAAAAGGAATATCGGATTTATAAATTTTGGGAAGGCCATAGAAATAGGGCAGATGACACGAAACTGTTGAACAAGGTCAAAGTCAAGAGGGCAGAGGTCGGAGAGAGTCCTTAGTTTCTTGTTGAAAGTTCTCTTGATGCGATCAAGAGGGTTGGAAACAAGAGGAGTGTAGGTAGGTGAGTCAGAGAGCAAGATATCAGCTTTACGGAGGTAATCCTCGCGATCAAGAGAACTACCGAATTACTTTTGCCAGAAGATAGTATGACAATGTTAGTGTTAGATTTAAGAGAAGAAAGAGCAATTTGATAGCGGCACTGAAGGTGGTGGTTCTTAGAAAACAGACTATCAAGAGCAGGAAGGAGAGCGCCACGAAAAGTGGACAAGTCAGGAAGATTACGAGTGTGACAGAAGACAGATTAGTAACACAGTCGGTAATGGAGAATTTAGACCAAGGGCTAACTGAGATGAGACGTTGAAATTTATTCTCTTGTTTAGAAGAATGAATTTGTGAATTCAGGTGAGCAGTGTCAAAAGCAATATACACATACAATATACGTATACTCCCTCCTTCTCTCCTTTTTATTAGTGTGACTTTGTAGATGGTCCAAGTCGGACCGAAACGTCCTCATAAGCTCCTGTCTCCTATATGCGGGTTATTTGTGTATCGTTCCAGTCACGGTATTGTACCTTTTTTGTTATTACAAGTAACTATTTGTAGGAGAATGTGTTTGCGGTGATGAGTAAGAATTTTTTTTTTTTTGCGTTATTGAAAATAATGATCTGACGCGGAACTTAGTTAAATACATCTTTCAACCGCCTTCCCTCACCCCTTCAGTGACGCTTTAGTCCATTTGTTCATATTGGTAATTAAGACTAAGCGAACTATCGAAGGATATGTGTACATAAGGCCGTGTTGTGGGTGAACTTGGAAGGTGGACGCGGTTTAGGTGTTTGGTAAGACTTGCAGTTGTTAGGATTTGTAGAATATTTTGTTAATTTTCTTGTGATATGTGTGTAATTACTGGTGAGGATAATAGTGTTTATATGGTAATGTAGGTGTGTGAAGTTAGTGTATAATATAATAGTGTATAATAAGTTAAGTAAAATGTAGTTGTTGTAATATTGGAGAAGTTAATATTCTGATAAGGAAGATGTATTACACACCTGGACATGTCACTGAATATAAATAAAAATATATGTACAAAATAGGAGAAAAAGAAATATGGCATTTATGAAAAGGACGGACTAGCGAGTTTGTGCATCTTTATTTAACACAATACTGGTCGTTAGACACATTATTGGCGAAATTTGTAATATAAGATAAGTGAAGAGCAAATACATCTGGAACGGTTCAGATATATAAGAACACGAAACCGTAGAGGATGATATGGATGAAAAATGGGAGGTGGTAGCTGGATGTCGCCATGTTGCCTACCGCATGTATCATCCAGTAATTAATGTGTATGCCTCCCAGTGTGCATTAATCCCCACACAATAGGTAAGGTAGCAAGATATTGGCCAATATTAGGTTACCTTTCTGTTGGGAGACGTTAGGATATATCAAGAAAATAACTTGGTAAGTTATATTTTTTCATTCAGTTGGAATAATATGTTCAGTAATTGAAATTAGTAGATCAAACAAAATACTCTTTAAGCCTACATAACTTCTTTATAATTATACCAATTAGCTAATTATATGGTGCTTGTGTAATACACAGGCACCATACGTTACTAATCCAGGGTCCCGGAGTTAATATGGGAGATGAGACGGTGGCCATTGAAGAAGCGACATTACGTGCGACCCCCACCAGTATTTGTAGTCTCCCACAAGTCTCCAAGATACATCAACATCAGTAAGTTGCAATTTGTTTTTGTGTCTATGGGGCTTCCCAGTGTGTGAGTGGAAAGTTAATTCAAGATTGTGTTCTTGTGAAAAATCCCCCATATAACTTCTAACAGGATTCATGAGAGTGCCTAGGCTTGACCTAGCTGCTAGGAGTCAGGATAAGTGATTAGTGATAAGTTTAGCTAAGTATGTCGGCTCCTCGTCTCTTGTGATGCTCCCTTAATTTATTTACTGCTAAAACCTCTTTATCAAATTGCTACAAATAAAAATATGAAAATTTTTCTCTCTTTCCAATCACAAACCCGAAAATATTATGATTTGGTATATATTAATATTTTACGAGGTACATCAGTAAGCCTCGGTCAATGAAGATAACAAATTATCGTTATTATATTCCAACAAAAGCGCCGAACTCGTATGGGTCGTATTAGGTATGACCCATACGGATTTGGAACTTACTGAACGTAGCTCATCGGCGTGCCAGGTAAGGAATTAATGTATACCATTTTTTTTTTTTGCTGTAACTGTCCATAGAGATTTTTAGTTCTTATGAAACAATATGATAATAAGAGGCGATGGCAGTGAATAAATCTGCAGGGCATCAAAATAAGTGAAGAACACTTACTTACCTTATGTACGAATATAAACAAATTTTCATAAATGCAAAACAAATTACATAAAAAAATGGACTTGAAATATAATGGAAAGGATTCTTCCATGTAGTCAATGTTTCGTCTCTGGACAAGAGACATCGCCACCATGCCTAACCCTTCTAGGGTAGGGTAGGTGCCTGAGCCCGAGCCTTTAGCTCACAAGACTGTCATTCCCATTTGCCCCCTTGGGGCGGGGATGGCAAACCAGAGAGGCCTAGCTTGTGGCTAGGCCTGGGGACAGTTGGTCCCAAAGATGAGGAGGTACTTGTGCCTCCTCCCATGGGAGACTTAGGTCTCAGACACTCCCTAAAGAGAGAGCCAAGGCCGGGCCACCACTTGGAAAAGGCCCGGGCTGGGAGAATACCGGCTAATCTTTAACTAACTAACTAACTCTGGACAAGAAAGTAATGCGCTTAAATCCAAATAAGACAACTTGCTACTAATGGCCAATGAATGTGTTCCATTTTGAACAATCATTTCCTGCATTTTTTTTTTCACACAAGGAGATACAAACGAACTCTCATACTTTAATAACTGTAGAGACATCTGATGGAAAGCTAAACAAATCGTGTAGAATTCCAGTAAACAGCTGATGTAATGTATCTAAGAAGGAGATACTTCTCAGACCAGTAGAGGGATTCCAACCAAATATACTGACTTTTCACTAAGATATTTGTGACGGTCAACCATGATAAATGATATAATATGTTTGTCAGGACTTCAGTAAAACTTTGTATATTAGCGCCTTAAACGAGAGGATAAATAGCAGTACAAATTCACTGTGTCACTAAAAAGGCCAATAAATAAAAACCAGAGCACACTACTATGATTTTTGAATAAATTAATGTAGTCTGAAAGTAGAAATGAAGTTTATTTTTGACAAGTGTAAGATGCTAATCCTGGGAAAAGAAACAACCTAGCCACCATAAAACTAAATATTATAGATAATAATCATTATGGTAGCGAAAAAGTCTTCTGTGTTTTACTTACTAGAAATTAGAGCCTAAGAATTAGTGAATTAGTGCTAGGAGGGATGTTAATACACTGTCTACATCACATGAATGTAAAAAACGTTAAGTTACAGTGAGGGTTGGATTTGAATTCTGTCTTATTGGTGTGATCTCGTTTAGAGTATGCAGCGCAGTTCTGGTCTCTAGAACTAAAGCTCTCGCTTTACACGGCAAGGGTCCGGGTTCGATTCCCGGCGAGGGTAGAAACATTGCGCTTGTTTCTTTACACCGGTTTTCTATGTTTCCTATCAGTAAAATAGGTTCCTGGATGTTAGTTGACTGGTGTGGGTCGCATCCTGGGAAAAAACTGACCTAATTTGCCCGAAATGCTCTGCATAACAAGCGGTTTTCTGTATAGTAGTATGTCATTGATGTCAGCTATGGTGTGTATATACCTTGTACATGTACTTGTAGTAATGAAGATATTATTATTATTATTATTATTATTATTATTATTATTATTATTATTATTATTATTATTATTATTATTAACATCAACTAAAAGCGTTGGAAAACACTCAGAAGGATAACAAATATAATTCTATGTAAACCACGGTACGGGTGGGGTTTGAACTCATGGCGAGTGAGTCTTCTGCACTTGTGTTATTACGATTTCGTGAAACAGGAATGTTTGCTACGAAGGTAGTTTGAGGACTGAATATGGACTCTCTTGAAAGGCATCGAATTAGGGAGAATGTACTTGAGGAGTACAAGTGGATGATAGGTACACATAACATTCAAATGAGCTGATGTAGGTAACAGTTCTTAGCTTGCCAATAAAGTTAGGAATCCTTAACTAACCTTGTAAAACCCTGTCTATATATATATATATATATATATATATATATATATATATATATATATATATATATATATATATATATATATATATATATATTACTAAAACAGAGTTTGAATTAATTAATTTAAAATTTGATAAATTTAGCTTCAGATAACATAGAGAAAAGCACTGATTTGGTAGCAGAGGTGAAGTAGAAGTGTAAAGCACTTGTAAAGGAAGAACATCGGATTCACCTGATCTGGATATATTATTCATGGGGCAGGCAAAGTTGAAAGCGCTGAGGACGCTGCTCAGGATGGTCTTGCAACCGCTGGAGTTTGGATAAACCAATACCTCGGACTTGTTGACCCTCTGGATGATCACTTCCGGCATCTTCCTCTCCAGCTCTGTGTGAAGCTCCACCTGCAGACACGGGGTCAGTAAAGCAAATGAATATAACAAAAATGGGAGTATTGCAGTATACCTCCTAGCCCATACTGAGTGTAATACAAGCTGATTCAAAGTCTAAAAGCAGGATTCAGAAGCTGGAGCTCGATTTCCGCAAATGCAGCTAAATGAGTACTAATACACAAATACACATTAAATCCAAACATTTTTCACACACCAGCCGTCCCTTACCGAGGTAGAGTTACCCGAAAAAGAAATATTTTCACCATTACTCACTCCATTACTATCTTGCCAGAGATATGGAGACACTACAACTCAGATACCCCTCCCAAAATGGAATATCCCACCTCCTCTTCACCTCTGTAAGGATAGGGGAGGGGACTCCTTGTCGTGGTAAAGAAGCTATTGGTCTGAGGAATTGGACATTTTGGTCTTCTTCCTCAGACCGAACCTAATTACTTCCCAATCCTCCCTTCCCTATCCCATCCTCCCCATCCCTCCACTCCCTTTCCTCCTCCTCTCCCCATCTCTTCCCTATCCCCTTCCTGTTTTCAACCTTTGGGGTTCTTCCCTCAGGCATTCCAGTTCCTAGGTAGGGGGTCCATCCCATTCCGTTGAGGTCGTTGTTGGTGGTGTAGTTTGCCGTGGAATCTGGATCAACTGGGGATGTTCCAGTCCCTCTCAAGTTCTCGTGGGGGGGGGGGGGAGGCTTTGGGTAGATTTCGGGTGACGGGTGTATTTCTGGAGGCTGCCTGTCGGATTTCAGGAGGTGGTGGTCGAAGGAGGTATGCTTCGTGGCGGGTATCCAACCACCCTCTCTCTTGTCCACCGAGGTGGCTTGGTAGATGTGAGGTTGCTATCCCGGACTGCTGGTTTACTGGCATGGGTTTCCTGCTGCATCTGCTCTACTGGTGGTGCTGGTGTCCTCTTGGGTGCGGAGGAGAATTTACAGCCCTTTCATTCCTCCTAGGAGCTATTTCTCCACTTTCCTTTCCTTTTTTTTTTGTCTTTCCTGTTTTCTTTTGGTTATTAAAAAACAAAATGAAGGAAGTTACATAATCATGGAGTCCCAAATCCATGAACCATCTCGTCCCGAGCCCCTTTCTGCTATCACACCCTGTTCCAACCCTGTCTTGTTTGAACATTGTTCGAACTTTTCTAATGGCTCTGTACCTTCTGTTGGTGCCGCATTGTCACCAACTCCAGGTACCGAGGTTCCACCTGACTCCTTTGATACATCCGACCTCTGCACTTTTTTGACCATGCTTCCAGCTTCTCCCTCTACGGTGCGGCGATTCTCAGATCGCTGCCCATCTCGGGTCGGACCAAGTCCGGTCCCACACCTAAACGACCAAGACACTAGCCGATGACACTACTATTACTTCTCACTCTGCCCAGAAAAACCTGGCACGACACTCACTTCCCTTACACACTATGTTTCCAAGTACATAATTGACTAAGTTTTTTACTTTACAACCGACATCTACTGACTGTCTTTCAGATCATAGTATCAGCAAGGACTCCTGCACCATGGTGGTCTAAATATTTTTGTCATGCTCTAAAGAGCGATGCACACATCGTCACGGTACAGAATGTTAGCCAAGCCCACAGTCCTTCTCTCCTTACCACAGTTGATGCTATTCCTGTAACAATTCAAAAACACTATTCTCTCAATTTTTGTAATAGTACCATCATTTTACCTCATATCATTGTTCAACATAACTTCCAGACACGTGGTGACGACATTCTCGAACAACTTGAGCTCCAAGACCTTCCAATTCTCAAAGTAGACACGTTTATACTACCTGCCCGCAGGCGGAGACGCTAACCCTGCAGTGTAGCTTTCGTCCTCAGTTTACATTGCGGAACACAGTCTCCAAGTCCGAGAGTTGATCCCTACACCACAACAGTACAGAAATTGCTGGCGCTTTGGCCACCCAGCAGGTACGTTGCAAGTACATAACAGAGTGACCAGTCTGTGGTGCTGACGACCATACAAATACATCCTGCAACCTGAATCCCTCTTGCCTTAATTGTAATGAGGCTCGCCCAGCTTTTTCTTGCCATTGACAAGTTTACGTAAAAGAATGGAAAATTCATTGTCTAAAACAGAAGATGATGTCACATATGCCATGGCAGTCTCTCATCCTCGCCTCTAGGGGAGACTTCCACGCCTTTCTTATTCTAGTAGTGCCTACTTCCACAGTCTCTAGTATCACAGCTTCCTCAGTCACCTCTAACTCTTTTGCAGTCCTGGTCTACGAGGTCCCTACCTCGACGCTTAATACTGTCATTGAATCTTCATCTTATCGCTAGGATGTTTCTATGCCTACAAGACTTTGCACAACTACGCCTTCCCCTCGCCTCTCTACTTCTCAGAAGTCTAAACCATCCCCACAGTTCCAACCTACTTTTCACCCTTCTTCATATAGCTTTTCCAAACATTTTTTCTCATCAGTCTCTGTACCTAATTTTTTACCTCTTACTAGTTCTGTTACGAGTGTAGAGGTTCATGTTTCCCCTCCAAAGTTTCTTCTTCTCCTGTCCCTTCCCAAGTTTCTTCCCAAGTTAACTTTACCCTCTCATGGCCCCCTTCTTCGGTAACTTCCATCACCTCTCCGTTCTTTACTTGCTCTCCCCCTTCTTGCTCTGATATCGTACTACATGCAACTTCCATGTCCTCCGAAACACTTGAAGCTATCTGCGAATATACTGAGGAGACAAAACCATTAACGAACACTGATCCACCTCCCATTTCTTCTCCTCACTCGTCTAAACCATATGCACAACTCTTTTCTTCGCAGCATTCCAATCCTTCGCTGCTTACTCGTTTTCCACTGCCTCCACACGTGGATTTTAATATTCCTCCTAGTCCATAGACACCTACTACTTCATATTCCCGGTATACTTTTCTCGCAAATCATGGCTTATTTACAGTGGAATATCCGAGGCCTCAGGGGTAATCGTGGTGAGCTTCAGATGTTGCTCTCCCAGTTTTCCCCTGTTTGTGTCTGTTTGCAAGAAATTAAATTATGCTCTGCTGCTATCCATCCTGTTTCGGGCTTTGTTTTATTACATTCATCTAATCCTTATTCTTATGGAACTTTTAATGAAAGTGCACTTCTTGTGCTCACCAGTATACCATACCATCAGATCTTCATTCATACTTTGCTGCTTTACATAGCAGTCCGCATCTACTTGAACAAGTGGTATACAGTATATTCACTGTATCTCTCCCCTTCTCGAGCATTATATATCCCAGATGTTGCATTTCTTGTTTCTTCCTTACCGACACCTATTCTGTTATTAGGTGATTTTAATGCTCATCATTACCTCGGGGGATGGGGGGGGGGGGAGCTCACTGTGATTCTCGTGGCAATCAGTTATAGGCTCTTGTCACTTCTCTTTCCCTCCATGTTTTAAATACTGGTACTCCCACCCATTTTTAACTCTCGCACTCAATGTCTCTTTATCATTGATCTCTCTGTTTGCTTCGCGTCAACTGCAGCTGACTTGACCTGGTCTGTGCTCCCAGATTTATATGACAGGGATCATTTTCCTATCTTCCTTACTTCCTATTCATATTTTCACGTTCCTCGAAGCCCGCGTTGGCGATTTGAATGAGCGAATTGGAGTCTGTACTCGCACCAAACTGCTTTTAGTGATAACCCTTCTTCGTCCTCTACTGATGACCTCTTACACTTATTTTCAATCTCAGTTTTAACTGCAGCTTCACATTCTATACCTCGAAACTCGAGCAAGTATTCTCAGAAATGCGTGCCTTGGTTGTCTCCCGCTTGTGCTCGTGCAGTACGTTTGAAACGTGCTGCTTGGGGCCGATATCGTTACAGTAGGACCGCAGAGCGTCTCCTTGATTTTAAACGGGCGAGAGCGGTAGCCCGACATGTCATCCATGAAGCCAAACGCACTTGCTGGCAAGATTATGTTTCTACCATTGCTTCTGCTTCCTTAATGAGTGCAGTTTGGAAAAAAAGTGTGGAAACTGAGTGGCAAGTTCTCTCCAGACCCTGTTCCCAATCTCCAGGTTGCCGGTGTCAGTGTTGCAAACCTTCTTGAAGTTGCCACGGAAATCGGAAATCATCTTGTCCGTATCTCTAAAGTGCTCTATGTCCCTCGTTTCTTTCCTCCAAATCTGCCAGAGAGTTGCTGGCCTCAGCAGTCCTTTTTTGATATTGAAAATGCATATGACACTACTTGGAGGTATAACATCTTAGCCCAAGCTTACTCCTTAGGCTCCCGAAGCAATCTGCCATTTTTCCTCGCAAACTTCTTATCTGAGAGACATTTCCTTGTTCGGGTTAATAATTTGCTTTCCCCAGACTTTGTCCAGGCTGAAGGTGTTCCTCAGGGATGTGTCTTTAGCACCACACTTTTTCTCCTTGCTGTAAATTATCTGACATCTGTTCTCCCATCTAATATTTGGTCATCACTCTATGTTGATGACTTCGCTGTAGCTTGTGCAGGAGCTGACTGTCACCTAGTAGCAGCCTGACTCCAGAATGCTGTCATCAGTGTTTCTCATTGGGCCACTACTAATGGGTTTAAAATTTCTATTGCTAAAACACAACGAATTACTTTCACCAGAAGATCGATCGTCCCTGTTACTCCGTTGTACCTGGATGGCTCTCGAATCCCTGAATGTGATACAGTCAGATTTCTCGGCCTACTGTTTGATCACCTGGTGTCTTGGAAACCTCACATTACCTTCCTGAAAGCGACTTGTCATAGATGGCTGAACCTCCTTAAAACCCTCGCTCAACTTTCATGGGGGGGGGGGGGAGCAGATTGTCGAACCTGCCTTCGACTGCATTCAGCCCTAATTTTACCGAAGCTAGATTATTGTGACGAGATATATTCTGCAAACTCTCCTGCAACTCTTTCTAAAATCGATCCCATCCATCGTTAGGTATTACATTTATGTTTAGATATTTTCGCTCCTCACTTGTCGAGAGCCTCTGTGCAGAAGCAAATGTTCTTTCCTTGATCGATCGTCGTGGTGTTCATTGCCTCTGCTATTTTGTCAGCTCTCATGACCTTCACGACCCTTCTACATACAGGATAGTGACGAGCGTCAACAGAAGTCCATCATTTGTTCGTCGCCTCTGTTTACTCCGTTCCTTTTCTCTTCGTCTTCAATCGCTCTTGTCTTCTCTTCAATTGCCCCCTTTATATGTTCATTTAGCATCTAACTTTTCACTTTCTCCTTGGGAAGTTCCAACAGTTAGTGTCTGTTTTTCCCCACTGCCTTGTGCGAAAGCCTTAATCCCTACAGTTGCTTCTCGCTCTCTTTTTCTTAATCACTTCCGATCTCATTCTCATGCCGTTGCACTGTACACTGATGGTTCTAACTCCTCTGATGGTGTTTTGTTTGCAGTAGTGTTTCCTGACAGTGTGGTGCAAGGACCTTTGTTAGACTCGGCTATCATTTTTACAGCTGAATTCTACGCCATTTTCATTGTAATTATCCATATTGCATCTATGCCTACTTCAATGTTTGAAATCGTCTCAGACTCCTTTAGTGCTTTGCAAGCTGTTAACAATTTTGCTTCACATCATCCCCTAGTTCTTCATATACAACTTTGGTTGCGCTGCATTACCAGCAAAAATATAAAAATCGTTTTCTGTTGGGTCCCTGGTCATGGTGATGTTCAGGGCAATGCGCAGGCAGACTCTGCTGCGCGATCTTCAGTACATGACCTACCAGTTTCATATGGAGGTATTTGATTCCCTGACTATTTTGCTGCAATCTCTGACCAACTTCTCAACCGTTGGCAACAACGTTGGTCTGATATGACTCATAAAAAATTACATTCTATCAAACCATATTTGGGTTTTTGGCATTCATGTCATCGATACCGAGGTTGGAAGACAATACTCTCTTGTCTTCGCTTCTGACACACTCGTCTAACTCATGGGTATCTCATGGAGAGGCATCCTGTTCCACTTTGTGAGAATTGTCTAGTTCATGTTTCAATTTCCCATATTTTATTGGACTGTCCTGTCTACCAATGAGCACGCAGAATTTTCCTCCGACGTCGTCATCGCTCTAACACCCTTACTTTATCTTTCCTCCTTGCTGATAGACCCATCTTTGACACAGACTCCCTCTTCTACTTTTTGACAGCAACTGATTTATTAAAAATGTAGTGTTAGAGTGTTCAGCAGAAGTTTGTGGTTACAGGAAAGTGGGTGCGGGAGGGAAGAGGAGCGATTGGTGGAATGATGATGTAAAGAGAGTAGTAAGGGAGAAAAAGTTAGCATATGAGAAGTTTTTACAAAGTAGAAGTGATGCAAGGAGGGAAGAGTATATGGAGAAAAAGAGAGAGGTTAAGAGAGTGGTGAAGCAATGTAAAAAGAGAGCAAATGAGAGAGTGGGTGAGATGTTATCAACAAATTTTGTTGAAAATAAGAAAAAGTTTTGGAGTGAGATTAACAAGATAAGAAAGCCTAGAGAACAAATGGATTTGTCAGTTAAAAATAGGAGAGGAGAGTTATTAAATGGAGAGTTAGAGGTATTGGGAAGATGGAGGGAATATTTTGAGGAATTGTTAAATGTTGATGAAGATAGGGAAGCTGTGATTTCGTGTATAGGGCAAGGAGGAATAACATCTTGTAGGAGTGAGGAAGAGCCAGTTGTGAGTGTGGGGGAAGTTCGTGAGGCAGTAGGTAAAATGAAAGGGGGTAAGGCAGCCGGGATTGATGGGATAAAGATAGAAATGTTAAAAGCAGGTGGGGATATAGTTTTGGAGTGGTTGGTGCAATTATTTAATAAATGTATGGAAGAGGGTAAGGTACCTAGGGATTGGCAGAGAGCATGCATAGTTCCTTTGTATAAAGGCAAAGGGGATAAAAGAGAGTGCAAAAATTATAGGGGGATAAGTCTGCTGAGTATACCTGGTAAAGTGTATGGTAGAGTTATTATTGAAAGAATTAAGAGTAAGACGGAGAATAGGATAGCAGATGAACAAGGAGGCTTTAGGAAAGGTAGGGGGTGTGTGGACCAGGTGTTTACAGTGAAACATATAAGTGAACAGTATTTAGATAAGGCTAAAGAGGTCTTTGTGGCATTTATGGATTTGGAAAAGGCGTATGACAGGGTGGATAGGGGGGCAATGTGGCAGATGTTGCAAGTGTATGGTGTAGGAGGTAGGTTACTGAAAGCAGTGAAGAGTTTTTACGAGGATAGTGAGGCTCAAGTTAGAGTATGTAGGAAAGAGGGAAATTATTTCCCAGTAAAAGTAGGCCTTAGACAAGGATGTGTGATGTCACCGTGGTTGTTTAATATATTTATAGATGGGGTTGTAAGAGAAGTAAATGCGAGGGTCTTGACAAGAGGCGTGGAGTTAAAAGATAAAGAATCACACACAAAGTGGGAGTTGTCACAGCTGCTCTTTGCTGATGACACTGTGCTCTTGGGAGATTCTGAAGAGAAGTTGCAGAGATTGGTGGATGAATTTGGTAGGGTGTGCAAAAGAAGAAAATTAAAGGTGAATACAGGAAAGAGTAAGGTTATGAGGATAACAAAAAGATTAGGTGATGAAAGATTGAATATCAGATTGGAGGGAGAGAGTATGGAGGAGGTGAATGTATTCAGATATTTGGGAGTGGACGTGTCAGCGGATGGGTCTATGAAAGATGAGGTGAATCATAGAATTGATGAGGGAAAAAGAGTGAGTGGTGCACTTAGGAGTCTGTGGAGACAAAGAACTTTGTCCTTGGAGGCAAAGAGGGGAATGTATGAGAGTATAGTTTTACCAACGCTCTTATATGGGTGTGAAGCATGGGTGATGAATGTTGCAGCGAGGAGAAGGCTGGAGGCAGTGGAGATGTCATGTCTGAGGGCAATGTGTGGTGTGAATATAATGCAGAGAATTCGTAGTTTGGAAGTTAGGAGGAGGTGCGGGATTACCAAAACTGTTGTCCAGAGGGCTGAGGAAGGGTTGTTGAGGTGGTTCGGACATGTAGAGAGAATGGAGCGAAACAGAATGACTTCAAGAGTGTATCAGTCTGTAGTGGAAGGAAGGCGGGGTAGGGGTCGGCCTAGGAAAGGTTGGAGAGAGGGGGTAAAGGAGGTTTTGTGTGCGAGGGGCTTGGACTTCCAGCAGGTATGCATGAGCGTGTTTGATAGGAGTGAATGGAGACAAATGGTTTTTAATACTTGACGTGCTGTTGGAGTGTGAGCAAAGTAACATTTATGAAGGGGTTCAGGGAAACCGGCAGGCCGGACTTGAGTCCTGGAGATGGGAAGTACAGTGCCTGCACTCTGAAGGAGGGGTGTTAATGTTGCAGTTTAAAAACTGTAGTGTAAAGCACCCTTCTGGCAAGACAGTGATGGAGTGAATGATGGTGAAAGTTTTTCTTTTTCGGGCCACCCTGCCTTGGTGGGAATCGGCCAGTGTGATAATAAAAAAAAATAATAATAATAATAATAATCACCCTGTCAGACTGAAGGCACTGTACTTTTCACCTCTAGACTCAAGTCCGGCTAACTGATTTCCCTGAATCCCTAAATAAATGTTGCCTTTCTCACACTCCAACAGCATGTCATCTTAAAATCCACATGTCTCCACTCCTATCTAACACGTTCACGCACGCCAGTTGGATGACTAAACCCCTCGCATAAAAAAACTTCATTTACCCCTCCCTCCAACCTTTTCTAGGACGACCCTCTACACCTCCTTTCCTCCACTACAGATTTATATACCCTTCAAGTCATCTTATTATGCTCCATCCTTTCTATAAATGCAGTCCACCTCAATAACTCATCCTCAGTCAGATGAAATATACATCACCAGGAATTCTGATGAAAACATTAATATAAATATGTGGACTGTATATTAAATTTAAAATGTGAATACATATACATCGAAGGAGAATTTATAATAATAAGACTCACCAATTAGTCTGGAGATTACGGTGTGTCATACAAAACCCCCCTGCCTCAATTTATGAAGAAAAAACTTGCCAGAATTTCAACACAAAATAGACATGACTTAGCTGGGGTTCCAAAGCTGTCCTGTCCATCTGCTTAATGCTCACGTTATGCAGGACTGCAAATCCAACAATTTTGGCTCCCATTTGAGAGGTTTTAAGCTCAATACAACCCCTAGAGCAACGAAAATTCTTCCGATTTTCACTAACGTTTCTTTACCACATTCAAAACAATGGCCACCCTCTCCCCCAGCGACGCTCACCCATCGCTGGTTCTTTATTTATTTACAAATTAAATTTTATTACCTACAATATATTCCATCAATTTAAATACAAAATACACTGTATTTTTGGAGAATATACAGTATTTTCCACAACACAAGACACTTATGTGGGTGGTAATTGAACACTTGTCACTCATATGAGTGGAAATTCAACACCAATTACACATGTGGGTAATAGCACAATATCACTTGTTTGGGCTGAAACTCAACACCTGTCAGTGCTGATCTCACCTGCATGGCGATTCGCTTGAGCTGAGCATCCTTCTTGACGCTCTCGATGTCACCAACAGCCAGACCAATGAGTAGGTTGATGAGCAGTATGGGCATCAAAATCATGAACATTCCCAGCAGGACTGTTTATGTCCACGTTATGCGTGGCAGAGCAGGAGGGAAGGCATAGAGAAGAGTTAGTGCATAACGTAGCTAGACTGATTAATCAATAATTAGGTATAATAAAAATCAAGACATCGTGGCTGGAACAATTCACAACACTCCCACAAACTGCAAAATGAAAAATAAATCACATTTTGGTGTGTCTTGGTGTAACTGTAGCTTAGAAATATTGGATTCATGTGTTACATTATAATTATTTAAATATAGTATTTAAGTAGTTGCATTTGTTTATTAAGAGTATCTGGCATATATTAATTTTTAGCAGATAGACTGCCTAGTTTTGCTGCCCAGATGTTTATATTTTATAAAGTTAGTGTTTTCATTGGCAGGGGCTGTAAAATTACATGATTTTAGGCTAGGCTATTCTACGAAGATCGGCGAAACTTGCAAGAATAAGTTGGCGACTAAGGAATAACATAATTTTGAAATTTAAAGGGTTTTAAGGAGGGATGTGTTAGCTTTGTCAGGGGAGGAGTAAGCATTGTTTTATTGATCAATTTTTGAGAGAGATCTGTTTTAGAAGACTGATTATATACTGGTAAGGTGCTCTGATGCTCATATTGAGGATTTGAATAAAATGTAAATGGTTACAAAGTAGGATTAGATATTAATTTAGGATTTTTGAAATCTAGGTATAAACTCTTTTAGTGAATTTTTTTATTATTCTTACAATTTTAGATTATATTTGTAGAAAATTTGGATAATTTTCCTAATATTTAAATGCAATAATTGGTAGGGATGATAATATTTATATAATAATGCAGGTGTGTAGCGTCAATGTGATTTTTCAAAGGTGATAGTCACCGGCAACCAATATATTCCCAATAATTTACTTATATAATGTAGTAAGTTAATTAAGTAAAGTGGAATTATTGTAATATTTAAAGACTTAATATTCTGATAAGGAAAATGTATTACATACCCAGAAATATCACTAAATTTTAATAAACATGTGTATACAAAATAGGAGAGCAGTAGAAGCAAAAAACGGGGAAGAGGAGCCTTCTGGTACATGTATATTTCTCTAAGTTTGTAGTGTCCTTTAGAAATACTAACGGCGAAATTTTACTACAAGAAAAATAAAGAGGAAATGCATCTGGAAGGGTCCAGATATATAAATAAACGGAAACATAAGGATGATTTGGAAAGAAACGGGATGCGGTAGCTGGATGACGCCATGTTGGCTCTACCTGGTGACTTCAATAATTTATGTTGGCCTTCCAGTGTGTATTACAAAGCACACAGCAAGTAAGGTTACTTGATAGTGGCCAATTTTCTTGTAGTCTTGCCAGAGGAGGCTTTAGGATATACCACCAATGTAATAAATTTTGTTAAGTGTAATAGGTTTTATCTATAAAATAATTAGATTAATAATTATAAACTTGTAGACATAACAAAATACTTAAACAAGTCAAGTCCACTTAAATTCACAATTATACAATCTACTTAATAATCACTTTAACTGACGTAAATTTTCATAATAAATATTCAGGAATCATATGTTCCTAATCCAGGGTCCTGGAGACAGTGGGGGACTGAGACAGTGGATAGTGAATGAGAGACACTGTTTGAGATCCCAGTGTCCCTAAAGTCAAACAAGTCTCCAAGAACATCAACTTCAGTACATTGTAATTTGTTTGTGTGTCAGGAGTTCTTCCCCGTGTGTGGGTCAAATATTAATTTCGATATTTTGTTCTTGTGAAAATCCCCCAATATATATATATATATATATATATATATATATATATATATATATATATATATATATATATATATATATATATATATATAATATATGCAATAAGATTACAGTAAACAGGTGATTTCAGATTTTTATATTTTTGCTAGTAATGCGGCGCAATCAAAGTTGTATATGAAGAACTAGGGGATGATGTGAAGCAAAATTTTTAATAGTTTGCAGAGCACTAAAGGAGTCTGAGACGATTACAAACATTGAAGTAGGCATAGATGCAATATGGATAATTACAATGAGAATGGCATAGAATTCAGCTGTAAAAATGATAGCCGAATCTAATAAAGGACCTTGCACCACACTGTCAGGAAACATTGCTGCAAACAAAACACCATTAGAGGATTTAGAACCATCAGTGTACAGTGCAACGGCACGAGAATGAGATCGGAAGTGATTAAGAAAAAGAGAGCGAGAAGCAACTGTAGGGATTTGGGCTTTCGTACAAGGCAGTGGGGAAAAACAGACACTAACTGTTGGAACTTCCCAAAGGGGAAGTAAAAAGTTAGATGCTAGATGAACATATAAAGGGGGCAACTGAAGAGAAGACAAGAACGATGGAAGACGAATAGAAAAGTGACGAAGTAAACAGGGGCGACGAACAAATGATGGACTTCTGTTAACGTTCGTCACTATCCTGTATGTAGAAGGATCGTGAAGGTCACGAGAGCGGACAAAATAGCAGAGGCAATGAACACCACGACGATCGTTCAAGGATGGACATTTGCTTCTGCATAATGGAAGGTAC